TTCTCTCGCTCCGCACTCCTGTTGCTGCCTGTTCAGAGGGGTGCCGGGAGTTGGCGCGGCGCCAGCTCGTACGAGGCGGCACCACACAGGCGGGAGCGGCCTGGTACGACCCTGCTGTCCTGTCGGGGGGCCTGTTTGATGTAGAAACACGTAGTGTTTGTGTTTGCCTACGTTGTCGATACTCCAGATCTGGTGTTCTTTTCCTTTCTTTCATTCCTCTGTCTCTCCTCTCACCTCTTACTGTTTTGCTTCCCCCTCTCTTTTTTTCTCTTTTCCTTGCTGTTTCCTTTTTGCTCTTCCTGACTCTGAGGCCCAGTCCTATTTCTTATTTTCACCCCTACCCCTTGTTTTCGAGTGTCTCCTTGCCCTTTGGCACTGAGTTACAAGGAGTATTAGTTGAAATCTTCCCTATGAAGTGGGACCCTCAGAACATGACTTCATTAACAGCTACTAGCGCTGCTCTGTAGGCGACCCGGCCCGTCTGCAGTGACAGCAGAGGAGGGTAAAGTTCAGCTCCTCACTGCTGGGCTTTAGTTAAATTAAGGGCATCAAATGCCTTCAAAGAGGGGGGGCAATTATTTATTATCACCCACCTCTAATTCTTCAGTGAAATGAAGTTGAAGTCAGATATTTATCAGCTTCTTGTTTGAATTTTCCCGTTCCACCTTAAATGGAGCCGCAGTTACATTCTGGCGCTTCAGGCGTCAGAACTGCTGGACTATTTAAGGTGGAATGGGAAATTTAGCTAGCTAGCTACCGAGACATTAGCATACTATTAGTGATTTTTTATGCTTGTTATAAATAAAAGGATCATTATGCATTGAAACGGCATTAAACTAAGATTAAACAGTGGTTATTAATTTTTTAACAGAGAAAATTCTCACATTTGTGGGTTTCTTTGGTCGCTTGTTCAGCCATCTTGCCGGTTTTTCTTTCTTTCTCGTGACACTCTGTTTGGAGTGTCTCTGAAAAACCTCGGTTTGGAGGGACATGTAGCCCGAACACTTCGCCGTACCCCTCTATCTCAACAAGAATCAGGACACCCTACACCTAGACGTGAACATGCAACACGGAGGGCTAAGGGCTCACTAGTAGGGGTGGGGGGTGAAATGGAATTGGGCCTAACTCTATCACTTTTTTTTCACTTTCTCTTACTGTCTTTTTTTTCTTTCTCTCACTTTTTCTTACTCTTTCTTTCTCGCTCTTTCCTTTCTTCTCTCTTTCTCTTTTTTTCCTCTCCCTTTCCGGTCTCTCTCTTTTTCTCTCTCTTATTTACACATTTCTTTCTTTTGCTTATTCTCTCTCTCTCTCTTTTTCTTGCTCCTTTTCTCTCTCTCTCTCCTTCTCACTTTCCTTCCCAGCCTCTCTCTTTCTCTACCTCCCGAAGAGGCTCTACTGTATTGACGTTACGTTGTATAAACACTGTTGTTTTAACTGTGTACATCACATGTGTAACTGCTGCCATTACTGGTAGTATCAGTGTGTTTGTGTATCTTTCTCATTCACTCTTATTCACTGCGTCTCTCTCTACTCAGAGTGAGTAGCCGACTGGGCTGCCCAGTGCGCATGTGTAGACCTGTAACCCCTGCAGAGTTACGCTGCCCATCTGTCAGCAGCTTGGTCAGCTCTATAAAACTTCATTACTCACATATAAAAAGGTAACTATAGCAACAACCGCTAATGGCATGGAAAAGGTGAAGGAGAGACGGGCCGAGATTTGGGGTTGTTTTTGTTGTTGTTGTTGTTGTTGTTGTTGTTGTTGTTGTTGTGGTTGTTGTTGTTGTGGTCTGTCTATACCGACTTAATTTCTCTATAATTTGCTCCATTCGGGATCTGGAGTCCATATGCTGGTAATCGGCTGCCATGCCTTCAGACTTGGTTGGGTGACATATGAGAGTGGAATGAAGACAACAAAACAAAAACGAATGGATCAACAAAAAGGAATGGACCTCATCCACCAGTACCTTCCTAAGATTTTTGTTTTCTTGAGAATATCGCAGTTGTCGGAAGAAAACCTTGTAGGGTGTGTCCAGAACTGTTAGAGAACCAAACACACAACAATGTGGGAGTCCAAACTAAAAAAAGGATTAAATGCTTCGTGGAAAAACCTCTTTACCGCTGTAAGAGTACAGTAACGTCAGCTACAGTCTGTAGAGTGATAAACAGATAGATATTGAAAATAGCTATAACAAACACTAGGTAAGTCGTATTACCTGGAGATGTTGAAACAGCTCGCTAACCATAAGCTAAAAGCTAAAGTGGCAAAAAAAACGAAACGAGCACATCCCAGGGGGCGTCCCGGGTCGTAAGAGTCGCTGTAGACGTTTTCTTATTTGCATTTATAAGCTCTCAGCTGGTTTCCTGATATGTTTAATCTACAAAGAGAAACTGTCAAACACTAAAAAGTCAGTTTCTCGTTCGTCAGCTTCTTGTTCAAATGTTCCCGTTTCACCTTAAATGGTGCAGCAGTTACATACTGGTGGCTCAGGCACCATTTAGGGTGGAAACACCAGTACAAGTGAACAAACATCTCCGCCGAGCACTCGCTCCCTCAGATACTGACCATTTTTGAGGGAGAGAATGAAAACTGTTCCACTGAAAGCAGCTGCAGTAGCTAATTTAAAGCACAGACTGCATTCAGTGTAACAGTAAGGCCCAATCCCATTTCGCCCCTTGCCCCTACCACTCAGCCCTTAGCGCTGTGTTTTGCGCGTTCACATATAGGGGTTGGGTGTCCCATTTTTTTGTTGAGATAGAGGGGTAGGGCGAGTCACACTCCAAACAGAGTGATATGAGAAAAAAAGAAAAACCAGCAAGATGGCTGAGCAAGAGACCAAAGAAACCCACAAATGTGAGAATTTTCTCTGTTAAAAAATTATGATAACCACTGTTTAATCTTAGTTTAATGCCGTTTCAATGCATAATGATCCTTTTATTTATAACAAGCATAAAAAACGCTAATAGTATGCTAATGTCTCGGTAGCTAGCTAGCTAAATTTCCCATTCCACCTTAAATAGTCCAGTAGTTCTGACGCCTGAAGCTCCAGAATGTAACTGCTGCTACATTTAAGGTGGAACGGGAAAATTCAAACAAGAAGCTGGTGAATATCTGACTTCAGCTTCATTTCACTGAAGAATCAGCGGTGGGTGATAATAAATAATTGCCCCCCTCTTTGAAGGCATATGATGCCCTAAATGTAACTAAAGCCCAGCAGTGAGGAGCTGAACTTTACCCTCCTCTGCTATCACTGAAGTCGGGGTCGGGTCGCCTACAGAGCGCCGCTAGTAGCCTGTTAATGAAGTCATGCTCTTTTTATTTATTTATTTTTTTAAATTTGAGGGTTGTCCCATTTCGTAGGGCAAGATTTCAACCACTACCCCTTGTAACTCAGTTAGGAAGAAACTTGAAAACAAGGGGTAGGGGTGAAAAAATGAAACGGGCTTGGGCCTGAGTCAGCAGCGCTGAAGTGCAGACGCAGTTTCTTTTACTCCGTATGACAAAGTTTATTCCTTTATTAATTGCACTGAAACTGAGATGAGGCTGTTTTTTGCTTTGAAATCTAGTACTTAAGTGAGCTGTACACGCTCAACTCATCATTGCTGTTATTGTAATAGCTTTAGCGGAAGCAGCGTAACCTGCAGCGACTACTTCCTGCAGAAGAAATGTGTAAATGTGAGAAGGGCCTATTTTCTTGAGAAGCTTTGTTCTTGAGAAAGGCCCTAAGAAAAAGTCCCACATCCTAAGAAGAAAGTCTACATCAGAACCGCAGAACTGGTCTCACCTTTGTGCTCTTGAGTGTGTGTAGATTCTGTTCTTACCTAAGAACAAATCGCAGATAAGAAAACATCGTCGAATGTTGGTGAAAAGTGCGTAAGTGGATTTTAAGAAGAAACAACTTCTTAAGAATGCTTGGCAAATGAGGCCCAATGTATAGTTAAATGTAAACACTCTGACATGCCCCTCGTTTTTGGGAGCGTCTATCATTTACTGTCTTTCGTGGCAACTTTGAAATGTAAAAGATCTGAAACGGTAGTTTATTTATAGTTAATGCGGTCAGTAGATTTTGCTGATGCGCTTTGTATTTGTGCTTTTGTGACGTGGTGATGTTGTTTTAGTTTTCCGGGGGGTTAAAATGCTGAATAAGGTTTAATACGAGGCGCTTCAGGTTTTTTGTTGTGTTCGTAGCTCTTTTGCTTTATAAGATTACTGTTTTGCACAGAGACTTGCTACTTTGCAGTCTTTTATTTTGAAATGAAATGTGTATTGTTCTGAGCCAGAGCATATAAAAATGCTAAAACACCAAAAATCTTGACCTAGAGCTTTGGACTCTGGGCCTGGCCTGGCTGTAAGGTGGTTTGATATGGCAAAAATATGACATCACAATACTTAATGACATTACTTTTCATTCAGCAATTGTGAAAATATATTGATGCTATAATAGCCTGACATACGAATCAGCTACTTGTTACTATGCAGTTTATACAGGTCAATTTTAGTCCCCCAAGGTACAAACACCATAAATGTACCCTTAAAGATGGTCCAGCTGTATACCTTAAATGAGTTTTAAAGGTGCACTGCATTCATGTTCCCAGGGAAAAAGTACAAACTCTGAACAGCGTATTGGACTGTAATTTATCACAGTAATGATGACATATCATCATACTGCCCACCCCCCGCTTGGCTGGCCCACCCCCTTTCCTGGGGTGCAAACGGACTAGATATGTACCACAGTGCTGATATTTAAAAGCCACTGTAAGGAACAGCAGAGCCGGTGCTGCGACCCTGCACTGTTAGAGCGGCAGACGCGTTTGGGCATTTCAGTGGGTTTGGTGTAGCGGAGCTGTTCGGTGGGAATCCTGCCCTTGAAAGTGACTGTGTATGTTATGTTTGTCTGTGTATGTAAATGACCCCACCCCCCCCCACCAACACACCCACCCCAACACCCCCCCACCCCGCTGAGCAGTGTGTAATTGCTCGTCTGTGTTCTTGTTTTTCCCAGAGAGAACTGGACGCCACCGCTACGCTACTGGCCAACAGACAAGATGAGAGTGAGCAGTCCAGGAAAAAACTCATCGACCAGAGCCGCGAATTTAAGAAAAACACACCAGAGGTGAGGCGCACCTGAGCACGCTCGTCTAATGCACTTGCTCCCCCCCAAACCACCCCCCCCTCCTGTTTGCTCTCTCGCTCTCTGCCCTCCTCTGTAGCTGTTTGTTTCTGCAGGGAGGCCTAAAGTGGCAGCGTGTTTAGTTGTTGTTGTTGTTGTTCTTTGGCGAGATTGGCTGTGTGCGTGTGTGTGTGTGTGTGTGCGTGTGCGTGTGTGCGTGTGTGTGCGTGTGTGTGTGTGTGTGCGTGTGCGTGTGCGTGTGCGTGTGTGTGTGCGTGTGTGTGCGTGTGTGTGTGTGTGTGTGTGCGTGTGTGTGTGTGTGTGTGTGTGTGCGTGTGTGTGCGTGTGTGCGTGTGTGTGCGTGTGTGTGTGTGTGTGTGCGTGTGCGTGTGCGTGTGTGTGTGTGAGTGTGAGAGAGAGAGAAGAATTGGAGTATGCTCAGTCAAGCGGAGTAGACAGTGTCTTCCTATTGTCTTTAATTGCACCCCCCCCCCAGCTTTGGTCCAATCATGTCCTGGCTGACCTCAGTTAGGAACGCTTCTTTTTTTTTGTTGTTTTTAATTTTTATTTTTCTGTCTCTCTCTCTCTCTCTCTCTCACGTGGCTCTCACACGTGATTTCCATAGATGTACGACCATATGCATCATTTGAGCTCAACCCTCTGGTCAAAATACATGTTTTGGTGATTTTCTAAAGTTTATGCCAATGCATTTTCTGCTATTTTTAGTGCACAGTTTCTTTGGATTTGCTGAGTTTAACGTATATTGGGGAAAAAAAACATAAAATATAAAATGTCCATTTTTCCCCATTATGTTAAATTCAACAAAATACAAACAAAAAACAAATTGTATGTTAAACTGTGCAGATCACTTAGAAAATAATCAAAATGTATGATTTGAGCAGCGTGCTGCAATTTTTGCATTTGACTGCGATTAATTGCTGATTTACAGTCAAGTGAAGGTAGCTAACAGGCTGAGTCTTCTTCAATATTATTAATATAACAGAATATAGACTTTAAATCTGCTGAAGAACTGTAAATCAGTTCCGATGTTTATGTAAAGCTGCTATAAGCAGATTAAATCTTGTGGAGAAGTGAAAGTATGCCTCCGTTAGCTTGGTGCCAATGTAATATAGTGATTCCCATAGAGAGGCCAGTGAAAATTGGCACTATTGCATCGATAGAAATCAATTAAAACAATTCAAAACAATTCATTTTTTCAAAAGAAAAGTTTTGTGCTCTGCAAATCACTAAATCTGTTTCATCCTTAAACACATAAATGTACTACTTTGCCCTGCAGTGTTGTGCTGTCAGCTGCGGTATGGGCATGACTGCGTTAGAGAGCCTGAGAAAAGCTCTCTTTTACGGTTTTTAAATGCCTCAGGGTTCAATATTGAGCCCATGCTGATTTTTACTGGCTCTTTGTCCATGTGTTTGGTCTCTGGTCCTCGTAAAGCTTCAAGCTTGTGGCCCGTTAAGTATGCATGAAGCGAGCGCGCGCTGAAATACAGCCGGTCACCTTTGAGAAAATAACCTAACAATCTATTTTAGTTTCCACAATAAGTCCAGTCTTCTCCATCAGCAGAGTCGGTCAAAAATGACTTTTTTCTAGGTTTTTTTTTTTCTCTGCCTCTCAAAAGACTAAATCCCGCTCTTCCCCCGAGAGCCGTTTTACTTTGACCTACTTTGTTTGCTGTCGAATGTGTGACGTTCCGGCTAAGCGCGGTCATTTGGGAATCGCGTCTATCGTTCCCAGCCCGCCCTCGCGCCCCCCCCCACCCCTTTCCTCCTCCAGGGACCGTTGTTTAGCTGTGTGTTCCCATGGCAACGGGCTTGGCGGAGCAAGACTGGAAACAAAGCGTTGTTGTTGTTGTTATTATTTGGAATGTTGTAATGAATAATTAATGAGGCTGTGAATTATTTATGAATGAGTAGGCCGAGGCTCGTGCGAAAGCTCCCCGCGCTCCCATAGAGAGAGGAGGGTCGGAGGGCTGCTGGGTTGAGTGGAGAGCGTGTAGGACATGCGAGCGCGAGCCTGGGGGGCATTTCACAGAGCAGGATATCTCAGTTAGCCAGATAACTTGAGCCAAATGTCAAGCCTGTCCAGTAGGAGGTCAGGAACGCTGATAATTCTGACTCTTTGGTTAGATTAGATTACTACTGTATGAAGTTGCTGATCTAGTATCATTTGGCTGCTCTTATTTCTGTCACACTTTGTCTTGAAAGCTTTTATAAGAAACCTTTTAACGTCTTTAATTGAAAATGGCAGCTGCTCTTTACTTCATATGAACATTTCATGACAAATGGACCAGCGGAAGTCTTGAAAAGTTTATATTGAATTTATTTGAACAGGTTTTTCTTCTCCTTCAAGGTTGATTTTTAATTTGTCTGAGGTGTCGTAAATTAGGGCCCGACTGATGTATCACTTGCCAGTAATATTGGCTGATATCGATATCCTCAGTTTTGGCAAATTATAGCCAATAATGTGCCAGTATTTAGCAACCATGCTATAACACAAACTAACCTACTTTTTCAGATGAAAAATAATAAAAATGAAAGATAATTAAAGGAAACTAAAAGCCCCAAAGCATTATGAGTAGACCTGCCATCAGCGCTACGGTATTTATACTGTATTTAACACAATGAATCTAAGCCGCTTATCCTTATGGGTCGGGGCGGGGAGGAGGGGAGTGCTAGAACCTGTCCCAGCGATCACTGGCTGGTAGGAAACGCCCTGGATAGGCTGCCAATTCATCAGTCATATCAGTCAGTGAAGCACTATTTAACTTAAACTATTGGAAGTATATAAAGAAATACAAAATAATGAAATAATATTGTACGTTATTATCAGTTATCTAAATTTTTTTGCCCTGAAAGGACCTGTAAAAGCGAATTTTCCTTGATTTTCTAAAATAAAAGCGTTTGATGTGATGTGCAATGCCAAAATTTCAGAAATTCACTACTAACTAAGCTGCAGAAACTTAAATTCACTGTTTCTGTGGCGTCACAAACACAACACGTTTTCAAATATCATGTTATGTTCAGCCTACAGCAGTTTAGCCCCGCCCATTCACGATGAAGATATAAGGAGTGTTTCTGACTGGACCGATTTTTAAATGAGGCACAATACAGAACAGCCAGTTAGAACAGAGCTCATTTAGATAAATCAGGCTTAAAGGCCCAGAAACAAAAACAGCCTGTTTAATTCTAAGGGATAAAGATAGTTTGGAAAATGGTCGTGTAGAAGTGAATTAGGACTGTTTATGTTACATAAAACCACACAAACACATGAAATAGACTAAGAATGTAGAATAAAGGCGCTTTAAAGTTAGTGTCATTTTTCAGATCAGTCAGGCGTGGGAATCCCCACATAGCTGAATCCCAGGTAAATCCCCACAGAATACAGCAGTCCTGAACTACCTGTTCAAGTCCCGGGTCTTTATGCAACCTTACATACATAAACACACGTCGCATACATAATGATTCGTCCCTCTTTGTTCTCTCCTAATTTCTTTGGTCACTTTTCTACCCACCCAGCTGTTTTGGTGTGAAGCTCTGGCGTGTTATAACCCACCGGTCAGCGACGTATAGGGAGGAAAAGTGTTGATGCAGGTAGACGATGAGGCGCTTATCAGCATTGAACAGGCCTTAATGGGGAATAGGGGTGGCGGAGGTGAGTTGGGGGGGGCGGGACGGGGAGCTGAAGTGCTGGCCTTGCACCCTTGCCCGGCGTTTGAGGAGCCTTGATGTTTTGCTTCAGCTGTGTTCATCAACTCCTGCTCCCTTTGTGCTCCTTATTATTAATGAAAAATCTTATGATATGATTACAAATTGAAAAGCATTGCTGTTTCATTTCCCCACAACTTCAGGAACGACAAACCTGATTTCTGACGCCGTATAACATAATCTACTATAAAAATAGCTAAAAATATGGACACATGGATTCAGGATACTGCTGTGCTTCAGCTGCGTAGCCGCTACTGATTTTAAGGGGCTGTACATTCCGATAATCAGTGATATCAGCTGGTATAATTGCGTAGTTATATGAAGAGCAGAAAATCTTAGTAATATAAATGTTAGAAACACGTAAATGTAAACAATGTCATACATTCAACTTTTTCACTTTAAAACTTAAGTAACTTGGTTAACTTAAAATTTCAAATTTATTGAACTTCAAATAAGTTAACGAATATGAAATACAAATTCTGTTAATATTATTTAAATGAGCTTTTAAGTTAATCAGAGATCGTTAAGTTAAAAGGTTTTTACAGTGTATCCAGAATTCTTTGCTGTTTTGATTTCTGTTTAATATTTCTTATTTTAGCATTTTATTATAATAATATAATATAATAAAATTATTATTTTTTGTTCGTTCCATATATTTTGTGTTATGGTGTTTTGTGTTGAAGGTGAGGTTTTGGGTATATTATGTCGTTTTAACCATAATGCACTGGGGGATTTTTTTTTGGTAAAGAAAAACTAAGAAATAGGTTTCCTTTTTTTTTTGTTTTGTTTTCAGATTTACCAGAAAGTTAATTATTTGTGGCAGTATTTTTGCTGATACCGCTAAAATTGCAGGCAATCTGTATCACCTGATATTACTGGTCAGCTTGCATATCGGTTGAGCTTTAAACAGCGTTTCATACAGTGTCAGAAACTGCGTAATCAGGTCCACTTAAAACTACCTAAACACTGGAGTTTTTCATGATGCTAAGCTTCCATTGGTTGTAGCTACATTAGCCCCATAGCTTTAGTGCAAAACTAAAGGGGCAAAGTTCAGAACCCGAGCAGGTCTCAGGTACGTTTGTGTTGAGGAGGAAACACTGTGAACGGTTTTTTCCCTAATCTGTGCCTTGAGTGCTCCTCCGTTTGCTACATTGCCCTAATGGTTTCTCTGCGCTTCTCGGGCTGTATGTTTTGCGCAGAGTCCCTTTAAAGGCCTCGCCTCTGCTGTCCACATCGTGTTTGATCATTGCCAGTGGCTGGACCCCCTCAGGCGCACGGAT